TCTGGGGAGCTAAGAAAATGTTTATCTCCCTGGGCCTGGCCTTCATAATTCCATTCCATCACAGGATTGAAGGAAACTCATCTGGTGCTGTAAAACTTGTTGATCCAAAGGTTCCTAATAGCTGAAAAGCAGTTAACAAGCAATTTCTGAAAGTGATTAGAAAGGGAAGTATGCGAAACTTTTAAAGGTGCTGGCCACGGTTTAAGCAAGATGGCTATTCCCTCATCTCCCAGAGCTCTAAACCCTGTGTTGCAGTCTCCTCATGAGGAGCAGCTGTCTGGAGCATTTGTGGGGGATCTCAAGTCCTCTTCTTGTCTGGAGAGGAATTATAGAGCTGGTCTACTTGCTGGCTCTTCATTCTGCCACATTGGTCAGCTCCACTTTTCGCAGAACCATCCAGTTCACCACTTCTTCCCCAGAAGTCCTGTCCTTGATTCTTCTCAAGAAGCTTTTACAAGAGTGGGAATCTAATCTAATCTGTTCCTATACCTGTTTGGGAAGGAGAGGAGTACTCCACAATAAGCCTACCTGCTATTTTAGAAGAAGCAGCCTCTTCTGTGTCTTTGTGTGACCTGACAAACAGTGGGAAGGGTACTCCTGTGGCAGCAGCAAATTCCATTGCCAGTCACTCCAAAATGAAATCTTGGGGTGGGGTGGGGTGGGGTGGGATGGGGTGGAGTAGGATGGGGAAGTCTAGATATAAGAAGTCTAGGTACAAGGGAATCGTTAACCCCATGCCCAACCTGGGCCTCAAACCTCAATAAGTATGTGTGTTACCAACTTCAGGACTTGGCGTACCTGGTGGTGGCGTAGGTGGACTACCTGGTGGCGGCATAGGTGGACTACCTGGAGGCGGCATGGGCGGACTACCTGGAGGTAGGTCTACTAACACAGAGTAACTATATCATCAACCTTCCTGCACCTAAGAATCTTAAGTAGCTCCAAATAAGACCAGCTGTTCAGCAAGTTCAATGTCATCTTCTGTCAGTAGCATGATTCAAACAAGGAGAAAGTAGGAGGGAAGGTCCTTGACTTTGCTTATTGAGTTAGAGAAGCAGTTTAAGTTGTGTTGGAAACACTGAAACAAACATTCTCCATTATGGCTTCATTCACACAACACATTTATCTTGGTTATGGGCAAGGAAGGCAAGTGGTATTGTGTGCATCATGACACCATCATGGAAATAATGCATAATATGTACTTGCATTATTTTGTGTCATTGTGCAATGACATGCGGCATCGTGGTGGCTTCCACCAGATGCCTATAAACTTGATTACTGAATTTCCCATTTTTTGAGTTTGTATTGTTGTGGGAAAAATGCCCACTTAAATAAGGAACCTTTCCACAACAGAACAATACATTGAGATATAAGCTAACCAAAAGGGCTGGGTTCACAAAACACACTAAATCACCAAAGACCTTATGACAGTTGACACTATTTAAGCTACCATTAGGACTTAAAATGACTTGGTTAAGCATGTTACTTGAAGCTAGCTATTATGTGTAAATAATCCTGATACCACAGAAAAGCCATCTCACTTCTTTTAAAACAGAAGACATATGGCATATTAGGCAGAAGGCATATGGCATATTAG